GCCATGTCTACTGATCATAATTCCATTGTTGAGGTCTACTAAAATACATTTATATTGTGCAATTTTCCAAACTCACATTGGTTTCTCATACAGCATCTCTGGATAGTATGTGTATTCACTCTCTGTCCTTAACGGCTTGTTGGAGCTCCTTCCCCCCCTCCTACCTGTGAGCCCAGTGGCCGTCTGCGAGACAGTGAGACACAGCGAAACCCAGCCCGAAACACACACACACCCGCAGCCTAGCTGGGAGTTTGTGTGTGTGCTCAGGACACACACAAACTCCCAGACAGTGAGCGGACAGCTCACACTGTCCGCTCCTCGCAGCAGCGAGCCTCGCAACGTCCCGCCGAGTGTGTGTGTGTGAGGAAGTCCGTGGATTGGTCCAAAGGTCACGGCTCCGCAGATTAGTCCAAATGGACCAATCTGCGGAGCCGTTACGTTACGTTACGTCACGTAGTATTGATTTTATTTTGGGTTTATCAAGCACCTTGTGATAGCCATTGGAAGATGACACAAATGTCTGGGTTGTTGGAGAAATTCAATTGTACATTTACAGTATACAGTAAGTGTGCTGTGTATTTTTTAAAACACTTAAAATGTATTTTATTGGAGTACATTACTCACATGCCATGTGCATGTTGTACTAGTTATTTGTTGCTATAATCCTCATAAAAACAGGACATAAAACAGGACAAGGACTGTGGATTCATTTTGCCAGCATGAAAACCCATAACTTGACCTACTAATCAAGAATTATTATTGCAAAGTCACGGTAAAATAATATTTGATTTGAAAAGATATCAATATTCTAGTTCTTGCAACAACATAAGTTTCTTTAATATGAAGCTGCCACCCACAATAAGCACAGTAATGGCGCATTTCCACTGCAGGGCCTCGCACGGCTTAGTACGGTATAGTTAGGCCTTGGTAGGCCAGGCTCACTTTATGCTGCGTTTCCATTACAGTTTAGTAGCTGGGGCAGTAACTATAGTAACGCAGTGTAGGCGGAGCCGTGACGTCATCTTCAATGCGAACCACAGAAAAGCAACATCAGCCGTTAGCTGTTAGCACTCAAGCTCACAGCTCCTCATATATGTTCAGAAACTAGACAAAAGTTAAACAAGTACAAACCACAGACTGTCTGTGTCATGGCGAATACAGTCGCTGGTTTATTTATGTCTGTATAGGCCGTTGTTGTGAGTGTGGACGGTCGGAGCATACACTGCGTTAGCTTAGCCAATCTCCATTTAGAAAACACGCATTTTAAAAGGTTTTTCACCTGCCGTCTGTCTGCAGACTTGTCACAGCATTAATTCATGGTTTTTACTAACCGGTATCAGTATGTTGTTACTTCAGCATCATTTTGAAACGTGTAATTAAATGACGGTCAAATATGTTCATTTTGTTGTAGTTGTAGCCCCCTTTGCCAGCGATTCTCTCACTAGTTTAGCATATTCAGCCCGGTTGTTGGCCCGGAAAGAACCTGGATTTTGGAGGGCCAGAAGAACTGTAAAAAAGTACCCGTTAGCCGGAACTACCCCTAGTGGAAACGCAACAAAAAACGGGCCGGTTTTGGCACGGCACGCTTAAACCATGCTACGCGCTGCAGTGGAAATGTGCCATAACTGTCATCAGTCTAAAGCCTTCAGACACTTTCCTCAGGTTATTACTGCCGTATGACAGCTTATTATCTCTTTACGACAGGCCATTACCTGCACAGAGGAGCTGGGTAATGAAAAAGGCAGGAGGAAAGGCTGTGCTATCAACAAATCAAAGAGATACTTTTACACTGAGATGCAAGCCAGATATATTATGCTGAGACTATGTGTAAAGCTGCACATTGTGAAAGATGTGCATTTTGCCCATCTGTTACTATGGGTACTTCCCCTGCTTCATACAGCTGATCTATGTCATTGGTTGCACTTTCAAAGGTCAAGGTCAAAGTTGAAATAATTTGAAATTTGATCATAGCACTTTTTGAGCAGGATGGGAAACAATGAAAAAGATGGCAGCTTCAGGGTAATGTAAGTCACACTACACTGGGTTCAGAAGAGTGGTGTAGGAATGAGTGCTAAAACTTAAAAATGAGTTAGCATTTTACCACTTCTTGTTCTGTCGTCTCAAAGTTAATTGTTTTTTTAACGTGTTTTTGGATGGATACCTGAAATAAGGTCTGTGAATAAAAAAAGCTGAAGAAATGTTAAAGTGTTGTTCTACGACATAAAGTAAGACAGTAACTACCACTAGTGAATGTCCAAAGCCTCTCTCTTAAAAAACACTGGTTGCTAACAACTGACAAAAGAAACTACTAAACGTCATGACACCGAACACTGTCCGCCTTTAGCTTAGCCTGCTGTCGTTTTATTTTATCGCCTAATGTTAGCCTAACTTCTGGCCATTGCTTTTATGCTTCAAATATCAATGTTATGTAAATGTGTAGAGATTATCCTACTAAGCAAAACGTGTAAGTATCTTCATGGTTTGTTTCGAATAGATCTTGTTTTTTGCAATATTCTAAAATCCAATGCAACAACCCTTTTGCTTTTTACAAATTTCCGGGTCGGCCAACAAAAATACGTCATCACTGCACCACTCTATGCAAACTGATCCTACCCACACGCTATGTATCGCACTTTTAAACATGTTGTTGATGTTGTAAACTAAAACAGTACTACTTGGCTAAGTTAAGGAAAAGATCAGGATCTGTGTTATAATAAATATGTTTGAAGAGTTAAATTGTCTAATCAATCAGGCTCTGTTCTCAAGTCAGAACCAACCGATGGGATAAAGATGAGCTAAAGAACAGAAATAAATGGCCCAACTACGTAAATGTGTCTTTGGTTAATCCTGCTGTTTTCAGAACACATTTGTAAACTCAGATTGCATTTAAAAGAAGATGAAAAAGCCTTATTGAATAAGCATGTTGCAATGCAAACAAACCATTTTTACCCTACAAAGGGCCAGTAAAATGCTCAAGTATTTAGTTCTTCAGTGTATTATTCAGTGCAGCCTTATCACACAATTTATGTTTTGCATTCTGAACATTTTATTATTGTTGAAAATTACAGTGATTTAAGAATTGTGGCTGGCTATCATTGAATGGCAGTAATCAGAGGGAGCAATCAGAAATCAGAGAAGATTCTATCAAAGTGTTTATGCATTTATGAGAGTGAGAAGATGTTTTGTTGTTTCTGCAGCTGGTCTTTCTACATTATCTAGAAGTCAATTGAATATTGTCCCTAACCCTTGGAGAGCGGCTGCGGCCGTTTGATGTGAAAGAAGATACCTACATTACCTTACAAAAATGTACTCTGAGACATAAATAGACTTGAGTTGCAGTACATTGAGGTATCAACCAGGTTGATATACTGGTATATCATCAAGCGTGTTGGTCAACTAAGATTTACAGACTACAGCTAAACACACAGTCCTGCCAATTAATTCTTGTGGATCAGTAGAAAAATAAACAGCAGTGGTGGTGACAAATATTTTAAAGAACTGGTCCCTCTGTTGTACCAAAACACCCCAAACCCCAGAATGTCCATCCATCTCTCTCATCACTATTTTTGTCAGTCAGTACTTCTTTCTTACTCTTCATACGTTCTTTCCCTCACTCCGAATCAAGTGTCTAAAAAATGTCAGTTATTTTAATACTAGAATACATTGGTTTAACGACAGCTTGAGAGAAACAAGCGCTTCAAAAACAATTGGGTCTGTTGCCTCCCATTGTTTTAAATAAGGCTCCAGTCGGCTCCCATAAGCATGAAACAACTCTGCATTTCAATGTTTGAATTCCTTGGAAGCAATCCCATTTAGGGACAGTCTAACAAAGGCTGTTCCTAAGCGGCATAATGGTTGGAGCGCTGTACAAAAGTAGCAGGACATGTGGGTCACAGTCCGTTTACACTCGAAGTGCTGATGAAATGGAAAAAAGGGTTCACAAATGCTATCAAATCAATATTCAATAATTGAACCGGGTGTGCAGGGCTGTTTGTAATAGGTTCTAACAATTCTGTCCATGTAGAAAATTGATTTAATCAAGTATGTTAAGTACAATTCTCCTGAAACGAACAATTCTTTCTTTAAAAATCATTTTCTAGATATATCGTTTCACTGTTTGGTCTATAAATTGTGACAGAATAGTGAAATATTTCGGTCTCAGTTTCTCCAAGGTGAAGTCTTTAACACTCTTGTTTTATCAGTCCAAGACCAAAGTATATTCATTGATATAAAACTGAGAAATCTAGATATTTGAGAGGTTGAAACAGCTTTTTCTGACATCCTGATGCCTACCCGTACCTCCCGGCAAATCCCAAAATTGGCATCTTCTGAGGAGTTGGGGCAGCCTCGTTGACACAACAGAGCACACAGCGAGTGGCTACTGGTCTAAGGAGGCACCGCCCAGTCACTTAAAGCCACCAAAAAAACCTAATAATGCATAACTCAAGGAGCCTGCCTCAAGTGGCCATGTGATGAACAGCAATTTTTGGCAACAATTTTGACACAACATTACAATGCTGTTGACTTGTTTATGCATCAATATTAATTATCGTTAAATTATGTAAAAGTATGATGCTGGAACGGGTATGCTGCAGATCCCGTTTCTGAATGGCTGTCCCGGAAAATGGTGCGTTTGGTCACGCTTTCCTTCAGAAGTAACATTGTGTTGTTTAGCGTGTATTTTGCTACTTTTTTATTCATTTTACCATATAGATTTTATCTCAATGTTTTTTTATCTGGTTAAATAAAGGTTAAATAAAAAAAAATAAAAATAAAACCATAGCCTGGGCTATTGTTTTTATTTTATGTGTTGACTTGAATCTTAAACTCCATGTGGATGTTTCAAACTCGTGTTTTTGAAACTAAAATTCTTAAGTTTAAAAACTAGCTTACAGCTAACGTTAAAGGGCACATGTTGTAACTCCCATGATGCTCTTGGGAGCTGAGCAGGACAGACAGTGACAACAGGAGGACTGAGGGGGTGATTAAATGTCGCTTACCTCCTCAAACAGCTCGAGGCTGTATGTGTTGTCATCATCCGCGAAGAACACCACCCCGGTGTCCCGCCTGTTCCGGTGCTGGCGGAGCCACGTTAGAGCCACATTTCTCTGTTCAGTGGCGCGTGGCATCCCGGTGCGCTTGAACCTGCGAGGAGTGAACACGTGCAGGTGAGTGTACGGCACGCCGCACCGCGCCAAGAAGCGCGCCACCAGCTCCGTGTTAGTGGTCGAGTCCTCCACTACGATCCAGTGCAGCCGGGGCACCTGCCTGAAGGCGTGGGACAGACGGGTGAGCTCCGCTTTCTGCACCGGACGGGTGTAAGTCGGGGTGATGGCGTAGATAACCGGGAGAGCGGACTGGTTCTGGGTGCCGGTCCCCCCCGGTGTGCCGGTCCGGGCAGCCCGCTGAACCCTGCCGGTCCGCCCGACTCCTGGAGTCCGGATCGCCCTTTTACTGTCGATATCGATCATGATGATGACAATCAGGACCCAGGGCAGCAGGATGAAGAAGCGGCTGAAAAACACTGATTTCATGGCGAGGCTTAAGTTACCATAAGCTCCTCACTCCATCACAAACAGAGGACCGACACTCCAAGAACCCTTCGTTTAAATCCTTTGATGTTCTCAACCAAACAGCAGAAATAGGTTAATTTAAAACAACGTAAAACCGTTCCCCCGTCCCAGCGGGACCGTTTCCCCGGACTCCCCCTCCTCCTCCTGCCTCTCTCCTCTCCTCTCGAAAGGGACTTGAGTGCTTCTTCGTCGTCCTACCCTCCTCCAGCTCACTCTCTCATGAGCCCGGTTACATTCCCATGTTGTGCCGTCCTTCACTGCTATTTCCAGAGGAGAAACAACCAGCCGGAGCGGAGAGGTCCTCCGTGCAGCGGGCGGTGAGAAGCCACCGATGAGCGCCGCCTCGGAGCATCACTTGGCGGGGACGGAGCCCTGCTCTGAGTGAGGAGGAGGGAGGAGCAGGTGCACAGCGAGGAGGAGAGGCGGAATAGAGGAGAGAATCTGGGGAGGGAGAGAGCAAGCCAGAGGGGAGAAAGATGGGAGTGGGGGGGGGGGGGGGGGGGGGTTCTGAGCTGATAGAGAGGCCGAGAGACAAATAGGCGCAGAGAGAGAGAGAGGGAGAGAAAGAGAGAGAGAGAGTCCTATCTTATACTGTGTTTGTCAAATGTTTAATAATGAAAAGTGCACCTCGAGGGGTCTTTATGAAAAGTTCCGGGGTCAAAAGACACATTTCATAAATTGATCACTCCATCATTAGGCAGTTTATTCTCAAGACAATAACTGAAAAGGCTTTTTGCCTTAGGGCAGAGGATGAAGAAGTACTCAGATCTTGTACTTAAAGGTGGGGTAGGCAGTGGCGTTTTTGTACAAAAGTGGTGGGGCACAAAAAACGTAGATGTTTATATATAAGCTTCTGCAGTGAGGTTCATGGCTGGTGAGGCACTGGCACTGACTCTTCAGGTTTACAAATATTATATTTGGACCTAAATCAAAATATTCTATTATTTTCAAAAGCTATTTTAGTCTGATGCTTCGATTCATTTTAAACAGACAGTTCAACAAAAAGATACCCAAAAAATGTAATTTTATCATTTAAATATTGGATTGTTCTCTCTTAGTAAGATCCCATTTTCAATAAAATGGTGGTCTTACCTTGACTTGAAGATGAAGTCCATTTGCCTATCCCTCTGGACAAAAATCTCTATTACTTTTTTGTAAAAGTCCTCCTTATTTTCTTGTACTGTAGTTTCAAAAGTCGAATCATAAGTCTAATCGATAGATTTATGATCGATAGATTTATGATTAGAAAATTATAAAAGTAGGGTAGACATGTGGATATTATCCGGCTGAACAAAACGTGCATTTATCTAAGAGGTACGTTTCCCACAGATCTTATTTCGAGCTATTTTCTAAAATCCTATGGAGAAATCTCATTGCTTTTTTGTTGAGGGAACCCATGCGCAGCTTACTTCCGGGTTTTAGGACGCGTCACTACACCTCTCTCGTCTCCTCTTCACACACTACACTTTTCGCGGCACACGTATTTACAGCCAATCAGTTCTGAATTATGTGAGATGACGTATGGTGGGGATGGCAGCTCAGTGCCCCTATGGTCATTATTTTTTTGCCACACACATTAAATAGAAAAATACTCTGAGCATGCGCAGTGTAGTTTTTACAGTCACCATTCACTTAGACAGTGAGAGGGAGGGGCATGATCGGGTTTTGTCCCACATGGCTCAAAACGGTTCAATAGGCACACTGTAGACACTAATTAGAAGAACACAGACTAAAACAGCAATGTACAGACGAATCAGATGATTAAACATGATCTTAAAATATATTTTATATATATATATATATATATATATTCTTTTTTGCATTTTTTTGTAATTATTATTTTTAATACTTTCTGCTGACACTAGGTGGGGCTGTGCCACTGGGGGTAGGTAATTTTGGAGAAACCAGCTCGAGTGCGCTAGAATTTGAAAATACACAGCCGGAAAAAATCTGCCACTTCCTTACAGAGCCCCTCCTCCAACACACACGAACGTGCACATGACCAATGAGGGCACGAGATAAGTTTGTGCACAGATGGAAGGCTGACAGGCAGGTAGGCCATCCACTTATTTTAGCCGGGCCGGCTAAAATGATTGGTCGTGCTTTTTACAGTACTACGGCTTCCACAGATGACATTTTTTTATGTATTTTTTGTCAAAGCATTTTAGATATTCATTGCTATCGGGATGTTAAGAGCATTCCATGGAATAAAACAAAAAGTGTATCTCGAGCCGGTTTCTCAAACTTACCTACCCCACCTTTAAGTAAAAGTATAAGTACCAGAGTGTAGGATTACTCTGTTACAAGTAAAAGTCCATGCATTCAAAATGTTACTCAAGTAAAAATACAAAAGTATTAGCTTAAAAAAATACTTAACGTACCAAAAGTAGAAGTAGTCATTGTGCAGATTGGTCCATTTCAGAATAATATATATGATATGTTTTGATTATAATTGTTGATCATTAAAGTGTTCTCAAAGCTGGTAAAGGTGCAGCTAGTTTTAATGACTTTGTATACTGCAGGGTAGCTTGTGAATTTACTGCAGGTGTAACTAAAGTCTGATTTAAGACTTGATTATATTTCACATCATTCCTCCAGATCTGTAAAGTAACTAAAGGTATTAAATAAATGTAGTGGATTAAAAGAACAGTATTTCTCTCTGAATGGGGTAGAAGTACAAAGTAGCATAAAATGGAAATACTCAAGTAAAGTACAAGTACCTCAAAATTATACTTAAGTACAACTTGAGTAAATGAGTACACTTCTGCTATATGGCAGTATGTCACTGTTAGACCACGATCAGGCTTGGGGAGCAATGGATTATCAGAAATCCTTCATTAGTCCCAAAGCGGGGAAAATGACAACGAAGTTAGAATACATGTTTAAAGTAACCTTCCAAACCCGACCACGATTAATCAGACTGATGGAAAAAACGTGTTGATTGCAGCCCTACTTTAGATTCAGCTCTTTGGAACCATCACTTGTTCTATTATATAACTATTTGTACTGTAAGTTAATAAAATGTTTAGTCATTATGTTTGACTTTACTGGATATTTCACTGTGTGTGTACAGACATGAAACATGCGAGAAGACTGAAAAAGGGATTTGTGGTGTAAGCTGAAGTATGTACTGAGTCATTAAATAGATTAGTTGATTTTCAGAAAATGTATCAAATTGCAATTTTTCATGGAAGCTAAATACAAAGCAAGCGCTGATTCCAGCCTCTCACAAGTTATTTTTCTCAGATTTTCGATTCATTCTAATGTAACAGTAAAATGTCTTTGAATTTGTGGTTTGGACAAAACAAGCACTTAAAGGCTGCCCAAAGCACACCTTGGGCATTTTTGCCTAGTTTTTCAAATAAATAAACGTGAGTCCTTAAAAACACTGAACTCATGAAGATGTCGTGATGAGACCAGATGGGTATTTGGAGTGTTAGAAATCCAAATTAAGGGACACAATATATTGTCACGGGCATGTTGTTCGAGTGCGACCTTTTCTCGCCCCTTTTCCAGACATTTCACTATAGTCACAAAGGCCAAAAAAGTAAGTTGTATGACAAATACACAACATGCAAACCAGACGATCCCGTAGAAGGAGCCGGTCACAAGGTAGCCAGGGATTTCCTGCTTTATTATCCTCTATTTGACTCTAAATGGGATCATAATGTTTAATGTGTTATTATACACTGCCCGTCCAAAAAAAAAGTCACCAACTGGATTTAACTAAGCAAATCGGTAAGAGCCTTCCACTGGATAATTACTGCAGTGACTAATGTGTTAAGTTCAAGTTATTTAACCCTAGCTGATGCTGTGAGTAGCTTCTAATTTCTTAAACAACCATGTCGGAAGACATCTGTGGTCGTGGAAAGGATGTTAATCAGTTTCAGAAGGGTCAAATGATTGGCCTGCATCAAGAAAGAAAAATAACAAAGGAGATTGCTGAAACTACTAAAACCGGGTTAAGAATTGTAAATGCATTATTAAAACCAAATCAATGAATCCAGATTGACCCTGTTCCAGAGTGATGGGCGCATCAGGGTAAGAACAGAGGCGGATGAAGTGATGTACCCATCATGCCTAGTGCCTACCGTAAAGCCTGTGGGGGTAGTGTTAGGATCTGGGGTAGCTGAAGTTGGTCAGGTCTAGGTTCAGCAACATTAATTTCCCAAAGAATGAGGTCAGCTGACTACCTGAATATACTGAATGACAATGGAGTTTTTCTTCCCTGACGGCCATCCATATTCCAAAATGACAATGCCAGGAGTGAATGAGTGCTTCAGGGAGCATGAGACATCCTTTACACATGGATTGGTCACCACAGAGTCCAGACCTCTATTGAGAATCTTTGGTGTGTGCTGGAGAAGACTTTGCGCAGCGGTGCGACTCTCCCATCAGCAATACAAGAACTTGGTGGAAAATGTATGCAACTCTGGACAGTTTGTTTGTTTTGAAAGAATGAGTGGGGATTCTATAATGGCAACCGTTTTGCCTCAACTGTTTGTTGTTCTATCGTTTCCTATGTGTCTTTAAAAAAAATGTATTAATTATTCATTAAATATAGTGTTGGTATGTTTCTTTTATTTGTACGAAATGAAACTTTCTAACATGTTGAAAATGCCGAACGTAGAGTATTCAAAGCCCCACTCACTCAGTGAAAATAAAAGTATAAGGCATGTCTACGGTATTGAATAGTGAATCTGGGTCGCTTTGGTTTTGAGCGTCAGCTAAAAGCATTGTATTGTGATGTCATATTCTCATGGACTTCTAGACATCCTGACTCTTTTTGCACTCTAACTCTTTTTTTCTCTCTTTTTGCATCCAGTGAATTCACCCCCCCTGCTGGAGATTAGAGCAAATGCATATTTAAGACAATTTGAGAACTTCTGCAATGTGCACTGTGATGTTGGCCCAGCGAAAACTGTCACACAGCAGAGCTAACAGGACTGATGTTTGCTGCTGTTATGTGGAGGAGTGTTATCAACAAATAGTGAAAGAAAACAATCTATGACCGGTCACGGCCCTGTGTTAAGGGTATGCATGACTCTTCGATTTAGGACCAGAAGCCAACCAAAAAGGCACAAATATTATGAAAAGAATATCTGTTACTATGGTATTATAATGTACATTATAAAACCACTTTTATTTTCTTTAGCAAATCCATTAAAAAATATCCTCTGAATAAATTAAAGTGATATTTTCATTTTAGTTATGTGGCCAAAAGAGTGTCTCTTCAAAAGTAAAAACATATTTGTTGTACTGTATATGGTAACTTCATGTTAATTATATGACAATAATGGTGTTCCTTTAAAAGTAAAAACCTTATTTTCATACAGTAAAACATGGAATCAAATTCCAAAATGATGTTGGCAGTACTAACATATTTCTAC